CGGATACAATCCGCAAACATGCTACTGAGTGTAAGGCTAATTGTCCAGAGTACCTGTGATCAACTAGACTCCGCAAACACATAGCAACAATTTCTCAGATACCTTTGCTAATTTTCTTGGTCACGATATACGTATTTACCGAGAATATTACCGTCTTCCAAGAGAATCATTACAGGTTGCAAAATTGTCGAAAGTTGTCATGGCAATGGAGGAAGGAAATATAAGGTCGTTGGCTGGCAAAAGTCTTGATGAAATACAGCTGAATGAGAATGAAGGTAAGAAGTTTTAAATGAATAGATGCAGTATCACATTTAATTATATTTGACAACTTCTGTAGAACTACCTAAAGAGCTTGGTCAGCACAAACAACACTGTTAAAAACCAACAGTACAAATTTATAGTTAAAAAATGCTTTTGTCCAACATCATTTAAATTTTAACAAGTTTACGATTGTTATGATAATAATAACAATTGTCATCGTTGTCTTGTAGGCCTGGGAGGGTGTTATTATTATTATTATTTTAATGAAATTATTTTTATTTTAGAGTATGCAATTAAATAAATAAAAAAGTTTATTTGATTAATTATAGTAATATAAAATATTGATTTTAATAGTTATCCATGCACTCTTCACCTCATGGCACTCGCTGAAATATTTAATAACTTAAAATACATAGCTTCTCTAATATAAACTAATGCAGACTCAAACACTGTTACAAACTAACTCCATCAGTGCAGCCACTTTACTTTCTTTGTTTGCATATATAGTGCCACCATTTTGACAAGCCAGGCATCTACCATATACTTAATAAACAAAATGTGTGAGCAACTATTTTCTATAATACCTGACAACCTAAACTTAATATTATTATTGTAATAAATTGCATTGATGGGTAAAGCAACATCACAATTGATTGAAAAAAATAATAACAATAATTAAAACTGCAATTTCTATAATAGCCATTAAAAATGAAACCATTAATTAGTCCAGAAAGCATATCAATCTGCCCCCTATACTTGCAAGGTGACCTGCATACAGTTTGATTGAATTCCTCCTACCTTGAGTTCAAGGTAGTTACTTTTTTTGAATGTTAAACAGTATTTTACTGTAATTCCAAGTGTTCAAACGTGAGATGTTAAACATAAAATTCTCTGAATAAAGTATAGTAATTACTCAAAATTAAAATTAAGCATATTAATATTTAGATATTTTGTAAGTGATTATTGTGTAATCCAGTTTCCTAGTTTTATTGCGGATTGGAAATGTTAGTCCACGTTTGCCTAGTTGTATGTCTATTGGAAGTGTTAGACCACGGTTGCATAACTTTATTACAAATTAGAGGTGTTAGTCCACGTTTGCATAGTTGGGGAAAGGAAATTCACTATAGAAAGTCTTACAATGGAAATGGCGAAAGTACATGATGTAACTAAGATAAGCACTCATCTGAAAAGAAGTATCGCGCTATTGAAGATAAGTTAAAAAACATATATGGGCTGCGTACAAAACCCACCGATTTCTCAATCTTGGGAATACTACCAACAATCGGATGAAGTCTCTCAATCTGAAGTTAAAAGATGTCTTACATCGCAACATGACGCTTCCTAAAGCTATCAAAGAAGTTATGTTTTACGCAGCATGAATTATGCTGTAACACACTCGGCATTCAACCAGGACATGAAGCATCCTTACCGTTTAGAAGACAACGACGAGGACTCAAAGACGATCATAGCCTTACTCATGCCATATGCTGCACAAATAATCCTTAAAGAACTTGAAAAAGCAAAAAAACAGAAACCATCAGACAAACCTAGTAATTGTTGTCCGCTACAGACAACAATGGGTCTGCCATGCAAACATTTATTCGCTGAAAGAATAAAGACACCTCCTATGCGGGGTAGATCACGAGTAAAGAGAAAGTTCAGGTGTATGGGTGTTATGAACATCTTTAAATAAAAAAACATAGAGATGAACAATTCGTAGAGAAATGTTGGATGACAGTCATATTAATGCCGCCACACATCTTCTAAAACAAAAATTTCCAAATAGTGACAGACTAGAAAATCTTATTTTAGGTCAACGGCTACAACTGTGTAAGGGTACAATGTAGAAAATTTTTTACAGATTTGATCTGTTTTTTATTTTGGCAACACTTTTGCTGTAAAAATTACATTTCTGCTGTTATTTTACATTTTTCAGTAATTGTACTTAATTTACAGCATTTTTTTGTTAATTTACAGCAAAAAGAAACACATTCTGTTGTTGTTCTGTTAAGAACTTTTTTCCTGTAAAAATACATCCCATTTCTGTTTATTATGCATATTTACACATTTATTTAATTAAACAGTATATTTACAGCATTTGGTGAAAATTTACAGCATAAAAGAAACACATTTTACAACATATAGTTGTACATTCACATTTATAACTACAGAATGATTTCTTTAATTTTAATATTTTGTGTTATTTCTTAGGGTTTTATGTAAATAATGATAATAGGCTAATAAAAATAATAATAATATTAATAACAATTTAACAATAAAAACAATAACAATAATTACAGTAACAACAACAATAAAATAACAATAACAATCTATTTGTCATTATAAATTATTTATTAATTCGAGATAATAAAGTTGTTTCAATTCCGTGGAGAATTCATGAAGGTCGTCACGCGTAGACTGCATGATCATGTGACGTAGACCGGATCTTCTGGAATTTTGGTGTGCACAGAGATAATGAGACTACGACGTATGTTACTGTTGTGCGTGGACTGTTTCACCTGTAAAGCTGATGTGGTATAATTGTCACTTACATTAAAATTACGAAAATAAAAAAGAAATCATCATCTATCCATCCGAATCCAAGTTGTGTAAGGTTGGTGAATGTGGTACCGATTGCGTATTAATTCTAATTAATTTGCATTGTAAATTATGCCTAAATAAATCTAGGCTGGCTAGATTAGTACATAGTAGGCTAAGCCTATCCTCGTCTTAGCCCAGGCCTATGCTCTAAATCTGTCTTGGTGGTAGATAGAAGTAGCTAGAGGTTTAATGGCAACGTAATGAGACATTAGACTTGCGTATGTCTAGTACTATTAGGATAGGCCTAGAGTACTACTACCTACTCACTACTCTAGGCTAGGCAGGCCTAAGTCGTAGGCTATCCAGTAGTTCTGTTTATGTAGCTGATTTTAACGTCTCAATTGTATTTTAATGACTATGCACCTTGCTTAAGCCAGAAATTGGTAAATAAATAGAATATTATTTGGAAAAAATAAAAAATAAAAAAATAATAAAAATAAAAATAATTGCATTGTTGTTTTTATCTTAAATTACATAATTTCCATTTTCCATGTGGAAACTGTTTACAAACATTTTCTACTTACTCAGCATTCAACAGTCATGTTAGTCGAAAACATCACCAGTACCGAGTGGAGCATTCTCCTCAGGTTAAGGCCTATATCTTCAGATACCTAACTGTAAAATGTCAAGTTGGTGTTTTGTGAGCAGTCTTCATTAATCAAACATGGTTAATGTTTCTTATTGATTGTTACACCAATGTATTAGATCTTTTGTTGCTAACATCTTAATGTCAAGTTGGTTTTTACTTTTTCAGATGGAACCAAACCATCAAGTATCTTGTTCGGTATATGCTCCAATGGAACACTTTTGAGCTGCCTCTATTGATGGGTTGGAAGTGGCAGTAACAGATATGTTCATAACTGAGAAAGGAATTATTGCAAGCAGCAATGTGTGCAATAACGGTTGATAAGGACATTGTCATATTAGCGCCGATGAACAGGCTTGTTCATAAGACTATCGCACTTTCTAAGAGTGACAAGAAACAGCTCTGTATTATCAAGCAGGATAAGTTTAATCAAATGCAGGCCGACTGCAAAAATGATCATCCGAAAGCAGGTATCTCTGGCACTTCTGTCAAAGTCCCACAAAAAGGTAGATCATCTCGGGCTTTTTAATGTGGAAACTGATTCCGATATCTTGAAAATTAATCTGCTAGATAAATGCTCTATAGTATACAAGCATTGTGATGGTTCAATCAGTTTGCTGGATGACCTGCTGGGGAAAAATTGGGATGTATTGCAACAAGAAGGGCACACCCTCTTCACCACTTCTTTGAAAATGGCTATAACTACCAGGTATATAAAGTATACCAAACTGGTCGGTCACTCATGTTTAACTTCTAAACCTTCTTACATCTGGATATGGAGTCTACTATTTATTTCCCATTTTTATCATCTTGGGGAGTCTTCTTCAGGCACATGCGGTGTGATAATAAGATATCAATGTTTTAATTGCTCTGGTACGTTGCAATTGTTTATGGACACACAGTTTTCAGACCCAAATGCTAGGCCTAGGATTTTACTTTCCCATCAGTACCTGTTTCGTGGGATCAAATAACAACTCATTGTTGATTGGTTCAATACTGTGCCTTTTCGCTTATTTATTTTGTGGCTGGTTGGAGGTCCGACCGAGCACTAGGCCTAGCCTGGGCTACTAGTAGTAGTAGTACTACTGCTAGTATTACGTAACTAGGCCTATAGGCCTACCTACTAACCTAGTAGGTGGAAGCCCGGGTATTCAAAAACCAGGGCCTAGGCTATATAGGCCACCCATATAGACAGAAGGCCTAGTGCCTAGGTAGGCTATATCGTTAATTTTTCTGGTCTGGTTTGACGAATCGCTGGGCAAAATGACTGAAAAACAGGCAGGTGCTTCCCAGAAAGAAAAATTTACAACAATGACGGGATTGTTTTTTAAGTAAACTTTTTTCAAAAAAAAAAAACCAGTGTTGAGTACAAATCGATCTCGTAACATTAAACAATGTCAATCCATAAAAAAACGCAAAATAGACAACAAAGAAGAAAGTGAAAGAATAGAAGAGTTTGCTGCATCACCCATACCTAGGCCTACCAATACTACAATGAGATATGTATACTTTAATATGAGAAGGGGAATCCGACACGAGTCACAAAGCGTGGATGACTGGGGCACTATTTGACGACTATCTGAATGACCTTAACCGTCAGATGAATTTTCAACGCAGACACATATTGCTGTTCCTCGACAACGCATCTTCTCATGTCGACGTTAATAAATCAAACGTGAAACTTGCATTTCTTCCAGCAAACACCACATCGGTCCTTCAACCGCTAGACCAGGGCATAATCAAGGCATTCAAGAGTCGCTACAGTGCAAAGCTGATGCGTAATGTTCTTGCGAAAATTGATGCAGCAGATTCAGCTGCTGATGTAACTAAACAAATCAACGTTCTTGACGCAGTTAATTGGACGGCAGCCGCGTGGCGTGAGACAACCGCAACCACGATTACGAAGTGCTTCAATCGCTGTGGGTTCTACTGTTTGGCCGACAATTCAACCGACAATCCTGATGATGGTGGAAGCAGAACTCCGTGATTTGGTTGGACAGATAGACAGTGATGTTGACGCGGATGTGTATGTAACGATTGACGATATGATTCCTGTAGAAGAGGTTGGAGATGAATGGGAGGTTGATCTCTTGGAAAGTTACGGTGGCGGCATCCCGGAACCGAGGGAACTCTTGATGAGGACGAACCAATAGACGATAACAATTCTGACGACAGCAGACAACTGTCTTACGCAGAAATGCTTTGCATGTTGGGTAGGGTTAAGAATGGAATTGTTTTTAATTTATTTTCATCCAACGTTCTCAGGTCAGTAGGCCTACACGGTACATGATGATGTGTGGTGTACCTATCTGTCGTACCTTGCTGGGCCTAGGCTTATTATCGACTCAACGTCAGGGAACCAAGGTAGGTAAACATGACATTCTCTAAACCGGTCCGTCCGGAAAACCGGTCAAAGTGGACAGTCCGAAGGCTGGGCGGTATTGGGAGAGTTGACTGTATAAAGCAGTTTAGTTTAGTTTATCCATTTTAGCTAGAGTCAAGCATGTTAAAAAATTAGTAACAAAATCACACAAAAAGTCATTAAAAACATTTACAACAATTATGGTATAAAGCAGTTTTGCACTGTGTTTGACTATAACCATTTTGGCTAGATTCAATCATGTTAAAGAATCACTAACAAAATCACACAAAAATCATTAAAAACATTGACAACAATTGTGGTATAAAGCAGTTTAGCATTTGTGTTTGACTATATCCATTTTGGCTAGATTCAATCATGTTAAGGAATTACTAACAAAATCACAACAAAAATAATTAAAAACAATTTTGGTATAAGGCAGTTTAGCACTGTGTTTGACTCTATCCATTTTGACTAGAGTTAAAGCATGTTAAAGAATTATTAACAAAATACAGTAAAATAAAGAACATTAAAAACTATTTTGGTATAAAGCAGTTTAGCACTGTTTGTTTATTATAACCTGTGATTAGTAACAAAATCACAAAAATACCATTAAAAACAATTGTACTGAATATAAGAAAAGACATTTTTCCCTATCAGGAAGCCATTTGTCTGGAATAACGTAAAACTAAATACAAGAGAGGCAACAAATATTCATACTTTTAATGTACAGTACAAATAATGAATTTGCCTTGTCAAATGGTACAGTCAATATTTCAACTCATGAAAATATTCTACCATTGCGCGAATAAAAAGCAATGATTACTTGATTTATAACACACATAAAATAGAGAATAAATTTTTATCATATGATATTTAAAAAGAAAATGTAGAACAGTCTAATGTCTTTTGAACTAAAAGATTGCAGTAGGTTGATGTCACATCATATCAAAACACAGTTCAATGGGGAAAAAATGAATTGAATAAAATGCAGTGATGGTAATATGTGAGTCACAAAATGGATTAAACTACCAATGTCATGTGATACAAAATCCAATAATCAAATTACGGATCTATTAAGGTGTGTTACAAAAGACTATAAAACATAAATGAAAGTTTTATTGCATAAGATAATATGTTTATTTTTTCTTCTAAACTTCTATATGCCTACTTTTGTCTTCATTTTTTGTTTTATTTTTTAAGGTTTTTATCTCTTAAGTTCTGTTTTCTTTTATCTTTAATTTTGCATATTTATTTATGTACTTAGAATATGGGATTGCCTTGGTTTGTATTAGATATGCTATACAATTTTTTTGTTTTTTGTTTCTTTCTCTTTTTCTGGTGTTTGCTATGGATTTGAAGTAATGCAGATTCATGAATCGCCAAATGTTCCTTTCTCAATCCTAAAAATTTGATTTAAGACTGGTGAGTTAACTGGTAAAATTTGTTGTTCATAAAGAAAAAATTCCTGTAATGAATTCCGATTGCCTATAATTTGTCTAATCACACAAAAAAAATAAGAATTAATACAAACACTATAATGGTGATTTAGTTTATCTCATCAGTTTTCATGAACAAGTTTTGTATCAGTTTGCATTGGCAAATAAACAAACTGTATTTCATTTTACATAATTATGGTTTGGAAATTGGTCAAATGTTGTACCAGGGCTCGATTTAGTACTAGCCCGGCGTACATTGTCTAGTAAAAACCACTCCGGGCTAGCCTATTTACTCCTCATGTTGCCCGGTTGTCTAGTGGAGAATTAGCAAGAAAAAAATTTTCATTAAAAAAAAAAAAAAAGTGGAACTTTTGAGACAATCCCTGCACAGGAGGTACCGCAGCCCAGAGAGTACACTCTAGCTAGCTTTCAGCTCTCCACATGCGTGAGTGTTTAATTATTAAGATGATCCCCAAGTCATTCACCAACCAACCACTACTATGTGGATGGCATGTTATCTTTCTCTATAGAAGATCGTTTGATCGTTCAATCTGGTTAATTTAGGTAGTTAGAACATTTAATTTAATGTACTACCTTATATTTATTATTTTCTCATAATGATATTTTTAAAATGTTCAACTTTCAATAATTAAGTACTTCAAGGCTATAGGTAGGCTAGGCTAGCCTAGGCCCTAGGTCTTGTCTAGGCCTGGGTAGCCTAGCCTAGGTAGCCTAGCCTGGCCTAAGCAAGATTTATTGCCATTGGGGGCGAGTGACTTGAGACCTAAAGATTTAACAGGTG